AACTTGAGTACTTTGAGAACAATAGTCGCACTTCAAAAATTGATGATGCTGTTGTTTGCAATTGTAAAGTTCCTTTCTAAAAAAATCTCGACGTAAATTAGCTAGAAAAACAAAAAAACACCAAAAAATATATTGCTCAGCAAGATTTTTGTCTTTAAGAAGAAATCTGAATGAAAGATAAATTAATCCATGAAGATCTGAGATACAAGAAGAGGCATGAACCTTAGACAGTCTGAGCAACCGACATTTCTGGGTGCAAGAGGTCTTTAAAGGAAACTAGGTCTGAGACATCCTCTCGCTTGCACAAAACAAGAGATTCAGTAGCGCGAGAATCCAAAACAGATTTAAGGTCTCTAATAAGTCTAAGAAAAGCAGAAAACATGAGTGACATGTGTCTGGTGATTTTTCTTCCACTGGTTATACGTCTACTATTCGCAATGTAACTTCAAATTAGAAACCGCATGGAATAAATTTGGTAAAATGAAGCTGGAAAGGCAGTATCACGCAAATATAAGGCTCGAAGAGCAAGGTAATCGCCCTAAGTTTAAAAAAGTCAGCTGGAGTTGCAACATTTTACAGAAAGTCAAAAAAGCAGTTAATTGAAAATGAAATGAACGCGTTTGAATTTGACGATAACTCATTTGAGATCAGTGAGAGATTAAAGAAAAGCCACTTGACAAGAGTAAACAGCCCAATTAAAAAGTTGCAACCTATCGAACTAACGCATGGTTAGACTCTGTTAGTTCACAGGGACCTTCTGACTGCGCTGGAGCGCAAGGTATGCAGGCCTCCGCTCGTCTACCAACTAAGTCACAACCGACGACTTCTGCCAGACTCGTTCATGCAATTAACACAAGTACTGGTCATAACCATGGGCACACAGCTTTGAGTGACCCTGGAATCTATAGTCATGAACATTGAGCTATGCTTCAATTTGGCACTGCACGTTTTTTTGCCGTTGCAGGCTTCTGCTCTAAGTGTTTCATTGCCCGTTGGCAATAAGAATTCTAATGAACCATTTTTACTACCATCGTGTGCTTTTCATTTACAGACCATGAGTTCAAACATAGCTGAAGATAGGTTTACCAATGGAGAACTCGTATCATTACCTGTCCCAATGTTGACAGCGCAACTCGGTACTGGGTATGTTTCTCTGCCAACTTATTTTTTGATGGTGATCTAAAATCAGCTGGAGTACATCCGCCGCCACAGGTTTTCCTTTTGGCACCTCATGGCCATGCTTTGCCTGTTCTGGAGCAAAATAGTGTTCCCTTTGCACCGCACACTTTTTCACCTAATATTAACGAGTACTATACAAGTGATGCAAACTAATGGCGGATGGCAACTACAATTTCGATTGTCACGCCTGTTCAATGTTGAAAGTTGGAAACTTTTTCTTGTAATGTGACAACTGTTGTCCACCGTGTAACACAGCCGTCCCGTATATTTGTGGTGGAACTGTGTGTTTCAATACGCCGCAAGTTAATCAATCCTCAAAATTTTCCGCATTTCGTCTTTAATACGAAAACTGGTTATCATCCAGTGAACGAAATTTAGTTAACCTCTTCTTCTAACCCAAACCAAAGTCTTTCATCTGATCGACCTCTCTCCGCTCGTGAAATGGTGGATTCTTTTTGCATAACCGCAAATATCACCTCCCTGATAAGGAGTTAGCCAAGTTCGACGTCAATCTGTCAAGGTCAATCTGGCTTAACTTTTGTGGTCATTTTGAATTCACCGTCAATTCCACTGTTCTCACATATGATAGGAAATTATCGTTCTAAAAAAAAACTCTCGTCGCAGGAAAAGCAAAAACCGCAATTGCGGAGTTTAGTTATAGCGGCGTTATGTACAAAGAGACACTGCAACAGAAGTTTGGGCAGCCATACGCTTTTGTTGGTGCGCAACTTGAGAAGTGGAGTAGCTTTTCACCACTTTGGATGCACAAATTGGAAATTGTCAAAAAATCTCCTTTGTCATATCTAGCTTGGTACAGTTTTCAATTCATTGTCATTCAACAATGATCTAACGAAAGTTAACATGTTAAACAGAGCTGTTAAAAAATTTCCGCCTCACCTCAACGAAGCTTGATCATGCATAATGTTAGACATTACTGTCAGAGCCCAACACTGTTGGATTTTATTAACTGGCTGAAAGTAAAGACCCAGGGGCATGATTGATTACGTGAACTTAACTCTAAGGCAAAAAATGATGAACCAGTTAAGCCAAAAACAATTAAAGTTTTCGCAGCCAAGGCCATGTATCTAAAAAAGTTCACTATAAGTCTTAGTTTCCGCCGTGAGTTTCGTGCAAGGAGAGGCCTGACCTATGGAACTGTGCTGTTTTTAAAGAAAAGAATGCTATTCAGAGTGCAAAACTCGTAGCTGAATAGAAAGTTTGCTTCGATTGCCTCAACGGCAATCATAAATTCCGAAAATGTACAAGGGCTAAAAAGAGCAAAAAGATCCAAGGAAAAAACAAACATGGTGGGTTCTCGGATGTAACCAGTTACCTGGCATTGGTTCTTTGTAATAATGCATCGACACACTGTTGGGTGACTTCTTCTCTCGTTAACCGTTTCAGCTTAGTAGGGGAGTCTGTTACTTTGACAACTAATAATTTCAATTTGAACAACGTTGTTGAGACTCACAGGGTCATTTTTATTGTTTGATCCAAGCCGAACAAAACTGATTCCATGTTCACTCTGTGTGCTTTCGTTAAAGTCAATTTTCAGATTCGTTCCGAATTTTTCAAACATCCAGCAGAACAAATATCGAAAATTAGCATCTAATCAGCCCAATCAATATACATATGAGGACGCTGAAAATAGTATAGGGCAAGACTACTAGCACGCAGTTGGACTCAATGAGCTCATCTTGGGAGATGATAATAACTCACCGTGTTTCGTTCGCCTACCGATAAGTCTTTCTCAATTAAAACTCCACAAAGCCTTTTCTTTTTCCAGATCTTTGATTATGTATAAAGCAGTTTTTTTTATAAATCTATGAATCGTTCAAGTAATTGTCCTTTTGGGAGAGCTGCCAATACTAACCAAACCAGTATAAGTTTTCAACCAAATTGAAGCGTCGTAGTTAAGTTTATTACAGGTAACAGAGAGTAGAGAACACGCAGCTGAAAATTTTTCCGGCCTTTAGAATTGTCTCGATAAATTTGTTGTAAGGAACAAAAGTTTTTGTGACGTTTTTGTAAATCAAACGGAGTACCTCGGAGTTTTGCATTTTCTTTGTTTTTTTTTTCAACAGCTCTCCATCTAGCTGAAGATCACGTAAGAATTAATAAAAAACCACGGAAAGTTTTTTCATAACTTGATAGTTTGTGGTAACACAGACAAGTTTTTTTGTCCACTTCTTCATCAACCACTTTGGATTTAAAGTCAAACGAGAAGTCAAATAAGCTCTCAAAAATAGCAAATCTAGATAAACTAGAGTAATTTGCTTTTGTTTTGTAGTAAGGTATCAAATAATTTGTTGAAGATCATCAATTGAAACTGATCTTTAAATATAATTCGTGGTTTTTCTCCAAATTATGTTTCCCCTTCACAATGTGGAGTTCGAACTTGAGTTTGAAATTGAATTTTTTTCTGTGAAGCTGAAAGTTTTTTTTTGTGGTTGGTATAAATTGTAAGTTTTTGTTAAAGATGTTCTTGGTACACCAATTTCCCTTCACCTTCATTTTTCAGCCATTGATTTTTTTATTATGAGCGAAAATTTCGACCTGAAACGGCCACCGCACATGGAAAGTGTTTCTCGGTAAAATATAGCAAAAGAAACATATTTGATATTTCACGTGCAACATATTTTGTATTTCACGGTAAAAATATATATCACAAGTTGAGGAAACAGCAAACTGCTGCCAGCATTTAAATTACGCTGCTAAAATTACCGGCAAGTTTTTGTTATATACTATAAAACCTCAAACCTCTACCAGGTCAAAAAAAAATTACTTCAAACAATTTGATTTACATAGTTAACCAGGAGAAAAATTCAGGAGAAAAAAATTGAACCAGAGAAATTTATGTATCGTGTCCTTGGTGTTTCTGCTAAACTTACAAATTCCGAAGTAGGGGCTCTTCTGCTTGGTGGGTGGAAACTTTCTTTATATTACAAAAACTTAGGATGAGTGACATTTTAAGATTTCGCTTTACGTGAGGACCCCCAACCTAGAAAAGGACGCACCCCCTATTAGGATCCACGACACGATACAATACTAATAGTGATTGATGTTTTACTTTTTATCTCATTTTTTTCCTGAAAGTTTTATTTTGTCTCCGAAGTTAGGATTGAGCTTAAGGTTTGAGCATAATTTCAAAAAACATTCCATTTTAAATGAGATCCTGAACTTTTATCTATTAGCAAATTCGGGAGCCGAAAATCTTACCATCTCAAACTTCTTATCTTAAAAGATGGCTAAACCTAAAACTTATCTTAATACATAGAAAATCCTATTCCCTATCTGAATACGTAGCCTGCTGACCGGATATCTAAAACGTATCTTAATACATGGGGGTCGGCAGGCACCCCCACCCATCCGCTCTCCTTTTATTCAATTTGATGAAGTTCAATAATCCTGGACAAAATTCTAACTTATATCTCAATTCACCGAATTCGAAACTACAAATTTACATATTGTAATCTGTTCTGAGGGTTCTCTTTGTATTTTTTTTCTACGTGTTGCGCTTTGTTTTCTGTCCTAAGAATCTTTAGAAGCAGCGATTTTTGATTTTGGTCCAGTTCGATCAGGTTAACATCCTCTCGCATCCACTCAAATAGACCAAATTAAGATCCTCTACCTCAGCTCCACCCCAATTTAAAGTAAATTTGCTAAGCGTTTCATTTCAAATGCTATCTATTCGGGTTGGCTGAAAAATCGAACTCAGAACAAAATTAACGGCTTTGAGGAGGAGGAAGGGAGGGAGTTTGGGTGGGTGTGAGATGGGGGAGGGGATGAAGTTCACTTGTTTCGTTAATTTTTCTATTTACCTTTTGCCACCCGGTCCCCTAATTTCTTGTGAAATCTAAGTCCCACTCCGTAGTTGAGAGAGTCTGCACTCCTCTTCCGTCCGGCTCCCAGTGAGTTGCACGCCTGTCCCACAGGAAGCGCCTGTATCCCACTAATGTAACCTAGACAAACGAAGACATTTCTTTTCCGATCACTTCAGGGCCGTGAAGTAGGTAGAGCCTGTAGAGTGTTATTTTTTCACCCGAGTCGAGGTTTTTCACATGACTTGAAGCAAGATTTGAGCGGTTTGAACGGTTTTTTTTTAAAACAGCTCAAAAACAGCGCAAGATTTGAACGGTTTTGAGCGGTTTATCAAAAAAAAAAACGCCCAAAAAAAGCGCAAGATTTGAGCGGTTTATCTAAAAAAAAAAAAACGCTCAAAAACCGCGCAAGATTTGAGCGGTTTATCTTAAAAAAAAAACGCTCAAAAACCGCGCAAGATTTGAGCGGTTTTTGAGCGTTTTTTTTTAGATAAACCGCTCAAAACCGTTCAAATCTTGCGCGGTTTTTGAGCGGTTTTTTGAAATAAACCGTTCCAAAACCGCTCAAATCGCTCATTTTGAAGCAAGATTTTGAGCGCAATTGTCTAAAAAAACCGCTCAAATCGCTCAAACCGCTCAAATCTTGCTTGAAAACCGCTCAAACCGCTCATATCTTGAGCGGTTTTTGAGCGGGATCTCAACCCGGGCATGCAAGATCAGATACCAGAAGTAAAGGTCATTTTCTGTTGTATTTTTATAGCCAGTGGCTGTCCTTATTAAAATAGAAAAACAATAGGAAAACCGCAGCACGCCAATGTACTGAAAGTTGTGGTTCGTATAAATTAAGTTCCCGTGTTGACCTCCATTTGAGAAAAAAGCTACGAAAATTGTATGACTATCATTTTTTTTCAGAAATATCATTTCTTCTACAATAACCCCAAGAGTTTAAATTGAACACGAGGAACACGTGTTTTGTTTTTGAAATAGAATTTCAATTAAAATGTATTCTGAAAGTTCAATTAAGTATGTTCCAATATAGGCAATGAATGTTTGTATTACCGCAAAATCTTGGGTTTTAAGCGGAATAAATAGGTCTTCATTGGGTCTGAAATATGGTATTTATAATCTTTTGATGAGAAACTGGGTTAATTTAATTTTAAATGAAATTAACCAGAAGCTGAAGCTAAAATGGGATGTTTCTCTTTCGCTTGGGGAAGACACGAGTAACAGTCGGTTCGATCTGAACACAGCTGGGCGGCGACTTCGGCAGAAGCTCCAGAAGCAATGATCATCTGCTCAAACTTCTTCAGAGCTGACCCATCTTCGATAGTGGTCAGCATCTTTTCTTTAGCTACTTCGATCGAAGCGCACAACCCACTTGAAAGTAACAGTTCCGCCCCTGAACAAAAAAAAACAGCTTGAATTGAAGAATAGTACACACTAAAAAAAAAACAATTTTGTATCTATCAAAACGGAAACCAAATCATGGTCAGTGAGTGAAGTTAATGTTAAGATTCAGAGAGAGAGTGACAAATATTAATGCTGGGGATAGAGACTGAGATATAATCTGAGATTTGAACTGAGGATTGAGAAGAGGTAGTAATTGTTGAAGAATGAATTGAGACAAAGAATAAAAATGACATGAAAATTTTAGCATCACATAAGTAGCAGTTCATTAATTTCTGACAAATTAATTAGTTTGTGATCACTAGTTGACCTTGTTTGAGTTTTATTAGTTTTGACTATTTTAATCAGTTTTGACCTCCAAACTCATTCGCTTCAGTTAATCTGTCTGAGGTTGAAATGTTCTGACCTCAACACTCTTACTCAAATTGAATTGGCTTGGTCTAATGTCAGGCTGCTATCCATCAAGGTTCGACGATGTTTGTACACTTCAGCTTCGCTGAGGGTTTTTGTCAAAAAGTCGGCTTCCATGATCTCAGTAGGGTCAACTAACTCATCTTCCACTCGTTCTCGAAAAAGGGTTGTTTCACATCGATGGGCTTCGTTCGCTTCTGGATTACAGGATTCTTGCAAATCGTGATGCAGCTCTAGTTGGTTATCCTCCTTGATGACTGTTGGTACGCAATTAATCAGGCCCATCTCATCGAGAAATGATCTCAGAAATAGAGCCTCTAGACTCGCTGCTGCCATCGCATTTTACTCAGCCTCACTGGTTGATATGGCTGCAGTTGGTTTCTTCTTGGTGCTCCAACTAGTTGCTTTCCCTGCCTTCTGTCAGTAGTTGACTCTCTATCATCCAGATCGCGAGCCCAGTCACCATCCGCGAATACATACTCTTACACCATCAGCGTCCCTGGTGTAGCAGAGCTCCAGATCTTTGCTCTCTTTGAGGTAACGAAGAACAGTCTAGTGCACTTTTCGAGGATTCTCTAGAAAACGGGAGAGTTTCATCAAAGTAGATAGGTTATTCGGCCTTGTTTGCTTAGCGATGAGTAATCATTAGCCCACAATGCCTCTGTAGTCTTTATGGACACTGCCTATACTGACCAAGCTTCAGGTAAGTCCTTCTCTGACAGTAAGGCGCTGATGATCGCTGGTGTGACCACAGGTGAAAACAGTTCAAGCAGTCGTCGATGTAACGTGATCGATTCACTGTTACAGTCCCAGATGACTGCTTGAGCTGTATTCCCAGGAACCAGGAAATGTCCCTCTGTCATCCATCTTGAATCGACCGGAAAAACGGCTCCTCATCTTGTTATTATCTGCAGCCAATGATGATGTCATCTACCCATACCCGCACATAAATCATTGCATCATTTGTTCCCCAAATTGCGAGCAAAAAGAAGTCGTTGCTGCTTCTACTGAATTTTTAAAGGAGTGAGAAAGTGCTCAGCGTATGATACCAGTCTCTTCGTAACTGCCGCAGCCCATAGAGACTGCGTTTGAGCAAACACACTTGACTGTCACCTCTGCTGAACCTCACTGTCTGCTCCATCTACACTGTTTTTGTTAAAAGAGAGTTGAGGAAGGCTGACTTAACATCCATCTGATGAAGTACAAGATCATGTTGTGCCCCCAGAGTCAGCTGTAACCTCTTTGTTTTTGGTTTACAGGTCGGAGCAAACGTCTCAGTCAAATCAAGTCCTATAGCTTGCATGAACTTCTTCACTACATACTGGACTTTGAACCGCTCCAATTGTCTCACCGCATCTCTCTTTACACCAAGAACCCATCGTCCAGGAAGAAATTTTTGATATTGTGGTTTATCAACAAGTGTTCATCTCTCAACAAGTGTTCAGAGACTTTAGCTCTAAAGCCATGGCTGCCAGCCACTGCTCTTTCTTGGGTCCAGATACTGATTATGAGTAGCCCCTTGGCTCTTGGTTTCCAGTCACTCAACCATGTGTGTAGACCACTCCGTATCGAATGGGTGGGTTACCAATGGACCTCTGCACTGGAAGATCAGTAGCATAGGAATCTACTCGCTACTCCTCGACTTGATCCTCTTCAGTAGCCCCCACTGAATCTGGGTATCAGCCTCCGTTGGTGTGCATGGTACTTCGCTAGTTTTCGTTGTGCTTGGTTGTTCAATATTAATGCACTCCTCCGTTGATAGATCCAGGGTTTGCAATGGCTCACTGTCAACCATGAAGTGGTCAGGAAAAATATTTCTCATGGAATGTCACGTTTCTTGCTTGCAACACTCGTCTTGTATTTAGATCTATAAGAAAGTAGGCTTTACTCTCATCGCGGTAGCCAATTAAATTGATCTTCTTGCCCTTTGGATCCAGACAGTACGCCAGGCAACCGAGCACACGCAACTATCTCACTTTTTGTTTGTTTCCCTTAGTGCATCACCTTCGTTGAATGGCATTTCTCATTGTTGGACATGGGAAACCAGTTGCGAATTCTCACTACTGTCGACAGTGCTCGCGCTCAGAACATCTTCGGTAGCTTTGCTTCGGCCAGCAGCCTTCGAGTCATCTCGGTTATCACTCTGTTGTAGTACTCTGCTACACCATTCTGCTGGGGAATTTCGGGAGAATGCTCTTGCTTTAGCTGGGCTTCTCTACAAAATCTATATGCATTGGACGAATTTATACCACCATTGTCAGTTCGCAGGCACATTGGTGATCCATGCTCGGTGACATTTTTCTGAAACTTCAGTAGAGCATCACTCTTCTTCACCATGCATGCTCGGTACTTCAAATGATCCCTTGATGCCATTGAAGACCCGTTGGCCCACTGCTGATGATCACAGATCTTGAATTCACGGTGTAGCATGGTACAAACAGCCTATTATTCAAAGTGTAGCTCCCCAGAGCATCGAGGCAGTCCCTGATCTCCACATCCACTGATCCTTCGAATCTCCACAGTTGTCCCATAATTCCAGGTCTCATAGCTAGAAAAGACAGTCCTGGCGTGCACAACATGATCAGTGCACCTCGTATCCACAATGAGGTCGTCGCCATTCATTGAAAATGTAGCAGAGCAATTGAATAACCCTGCCTTTCCCTATTTAAATTCCCCTGCAAAATATCCAGGTTGCCCACACTTGAAGCACCTTTGCTTCTTTGGTCCTGATCCACCTGTTTCGTTCGGCCCACTGCCTCGAGAACTAGATTGTCCACTGTCACTTCTGGATTTGCACTCCCTCTCCATATGACACTTCTGCCTGCACGCATAGCTGCCACTACTTGACTCTTTTTTCTTCTTCCTCACAGCTTGCATGGCTATGTGACCATGTTTTGTCCTCTCTCCACATCGAGCCTTTTACCGCAACTTTGTTATTAGCTCTGGTATCGTTTTGGCTGGCTGAAAGATCTCCTGCACAACAAAACTCTCATAGCTGTCAGGGAGCCCTTTCATTACAAGAGCTATGAAGAGTGTGTTTGTGATTGCTTCTCCAGCTTCGCTCAATCTCGTCATCTGCTCCTGACTGCAAGCAATGTAGTCGTCGCAATCCTCGTCTCATCCTCGGCGCAGCTTCGACAGCTGGCCTACTAGATTGACAACCGCCAGCTTTTATACGCTGCAAATCTCCTCTTGAAGCAGGTTCCAGGCCTTCGTCCCATCACCATGGCCATCTTTTTTCAAACAATTTTTCTTTATGTACATCAAAGTGATGCTGTTGAGCACCAGAGCCAGGTAAGACCACCAAATGTTTGGATACTTTCCTCTGCTGTGGAAACGCTGCTGGCTCTTGCATCTTGGTTCGCTATGCTGCCGGTTGATGACTATTTTGACACTTGAGGAGAGTACGCTCAGCCTAGGGCAGATCGTCATTGTTCTTCACTGTCCTGAACAGGCCCTTGGTGTGCATCAGCGCCACAAACTTCGTAGACCACGTCGGATAAACTTCAGTCTTTCCGTTGAACGCCGCAATTTTCAGGTCCATTGTTGCTAAAGGCTTTTAGCGAAAAGCTGAAACTCTGATGGAGAAAAATTACAAAAAATTTATAAATCTGGGCCCATAACCTGTTAACATTCAGAGTTAGGTCATTAAGGGCTAATGTTAACCTTCTTACGTTGCCGAAACATTCACATTCTTTCTAAAAGCGCTTTTGGATTCAGTATATACCAGGAGTCAGGAGATGAGGCATAGTAGAGTATAGAGAGCGTGCAACTGCTAAAAAAAACTTCTCTTAACACCAAAATCCGCCCCTGTGTGAAAGTATTTTGATAACCAAAGTGAAAAAAAAACACTATCAGGAAAGTTTTAGTGTCAAACAAAACTAACCTTGCTGACTAAATTAAAGCAAATGACAACCAATTTAGATTGCTTGAAATCAATAAACGACCAATTCAGCCGAAAAATTGACTTTTCGTCCAAAAAAATTCTTTTTGTTTAGCCCCAAGTGTTGATACGCGCCAAAAAAGTTAATTTTTTTGGCTAAATTGGTTGATTATTTGCATCAGGCAGCTAAACTGGTTAATTTTTGCTTGAATATAGTCAACAAGGTTTGTGAATTTTGATAGTACTATTTTTTGACATTTTTTATAATTTCAGATTTCCGGTTTGATTTTTTCGATTTTTCGTCTTAATTTGAGCAAACGAAGCAAGCGAGCAGGCTAACAACAGCTGAATTATGACTACTTTAAGACCTTATAACTTAATTTTAAGCAACAAAAATTAGTTTTTGGAGTTTTTTTAGCTTCATTTTGTCAATCAAAAATTTCAAAAAATTCAAAAATTGCCTGCAAAAAAAATTTAAAAAATAATTTTTCAAGCATTTTTTAGCCATTTTTCTATTCAAATTTTTGTTCAGTTTTTATATTTTATTGTGAATGTCTAATAAGCCTAAATTATAATTTAACATCAGATCTTTTCATCACACCAAGTTGAAAAAACCACTAATTTTGAAAAAAAAAACTTTTAAAGCAGTAGTTTTCTAAAGACCATGGTCAGAACCTTCTGTGCTTCTTGCACAGTAACCAACTATTCTTGTTAAATACGAGATTTGTTGATACCGTGATGAGGAAAAAACGCATCTCTCAAAAAAATTTTGCTGAGATGTGATTTTATGAATTTTTTTCCTGGGTTTTTCGGATGTAATTAGGAAGCTATTTTCCAGGTTGGGTATATAATAAATTTAAATGAAATTTTTGGCCTTTAAACAACTTTTAACAAAAATCAATTAACAATCATGGGCACGCGTTTGTAGCAATTGGTGAATAATCAACTATTCAACGTTTGCGTATTTAATGACATTAAGTTTGATTGAAACGGGTATTTAATTTTTAAGATACCTTGAGCAACGACAATTTCCTTCAGATCCTGCGCTCGTGCTTTGTTCTTCTTCAGAAAATCAATCGATTCTTCAATTTCGAGGGCGTTTCCCACGCAGAAACCCAAAGGCGTGTCCATGTTGGTGATCATGCATATGCAAGTGATGCCCAGTCCAGTGGCAATTTTTTTGAAATCCTTGGCAGCTTCTTGCGCTTTTTCCACAGTGTCGAGCCAACAACCGTTGCCACATTTGAGGTCGAGCACCAAGTGCTTCACGCCCTCAGCCGCTTTTTTGCTCAGAATAGACGCTGAAAAGGCACAATAAAACAAAAAGAGCTCCAATTACAAAAAGTGTGCAAGCAAAACATCTCTCATGAGATCAAAATATCGATGAGTGATTAGGTATGAGTGAAAACTATCATTAATGCCTTCAAAAACAACATTTGATCGAGCAGAAGTTTCTAATTTTTTTGGTTTTTTTTAGCTCATCTCCTGGTTACGATGGCGATTCAAGATCCGCTGAAGCAAAAATTGAAGATTTTTTTTCCTTTTTTTTCAAAGGCAATTTTCTGAGAGCCACTTTTCCTTCACGCCCGCCGGCAATTACACAGATAAGACTAAATATCTGTTGCCAACGTTAAGTCGTTTAAAACTAGCAGTTCTCCAAGCTTGAATCAGCGCCTACCATCATTGCCTAAAAGTTTTACCTTTTCTTTGTTTTGTAATAAAAAAGACAAGGCTAGTTCATCAAGTTTCGCCTCCCATGCTGCGTCCACCCATTTGATGCCCAAAAATTGTAGAAAAAAAGTTTTGTTTGAGAGCATACTTCGCCGGTGTTGCAATGTCTTTTTTGATTAGATATAACTGCGATCGGAGCTTTCGGAGCTTCATTCTGTGGAGCATACTACTCGTATGTATTCATTGCGTCGAATCATTCTTACCGTAAATGAGTTCATTTCTCCATACAGTGCCTGTGATGTCTCTGAACTTGTAGATGATCTTATCTGCGGGCGTGATCTCGTCAGTGGTGCCCACAATGATACACCCAATCTGAAACAAATAAATAATTCAAACTTCGAGAAAACTGTTAGATTTGGCTCTGGTTAGAGTACCTCATCAAATACTCAGTTTCATAGCTTAGAGCGTATTTAATGGCCTTAAATATTGTTTTATTCCCTTTTTAAAATCTCTACTTTTATTGTTTCTCCAAAAAAACCTACGCATTCGTGATGCAATAATTTGTTTTTACGGTTGCGTGTGAAAACTAAATAGGAACTAAAAAGAAGAGGTGCTTTTCTCAAGAAAGGCTGTGCGCGTCAATCTCCAAGATTATATAAAAAACGGTTTTTAAACAATTTAATTAATGAGTATTTTCTCGGCAAAATAACTCCGGAAATATAACGGAAATTTGAAAATATAACGATAATTTTAACAAACTTTATCATCGGTTACATCGGCCACAATAAACTGCATAACTCAAAGCAAGCTGCAAAAATGGCCAGTATTTGTCCTTGAGACAAATTGCTCTTTTTAAAGGTCAGCCTTAACCAAGGCTGAACCAAATTAGAGCGAAAAGACGGTTAAAATGGGTTTTGGGGGGACCGAACCTGGTTACGGAGCATCCCATCAAGTTCGGTGCACATTCGAGTTCTAGAAAGGAAATGACCTAGGCGGGATTCGAACCGGCGCCGAAACCACCGGGACGCACCATGTATACGCTCGGCTACTGTCCCTATATGCATTTATATTTTGGTTCAGTTTTATGCATTTATACTCTCGCACATTTACATTTGCGCTGCAACATCCTCCGCCCCTAAAGACGGAAGAACAGGTGCGAGTTTTACGGTCGGTCGTATCAGCTCGCTCGTAACAGTTTTGATATCGGCGGAGCGGGCGCATCCGTCTTTGCCGTAGTGTAGTTTAGCAATACGGGCGAGTGGGTAATGCCCACGTGGGCTGTCGGGTTCGACTACCCAAACCAAGTCGCCGATTTTCAGTGTGACATCCGAATCATTATGCCACTTTGCTCTCTTGTTGAGATATGGTACATATTCACGCAGCCAGCGTGACCAAACTGCGTTAGCGTACGATTGTGCTCTGGCGTAACGCTTTTTATAATCAAAGTTATCTTCGAAACTTAACGACGGGAAGCTAGCTGCGCTGTGACCGAGAATGAAGTGATTCGGGCTGAGTGCCTCTAGGTCGTGCGGATCGGAACTGACCGGAGTGATCGGTCTTGCGTTAAGTAATTGTTCAACTAGGCAGAGCGTTGTTCCTAGAACTTCCTCAGTTAATCTCCTGTTGCCTAATATGTCGTACAACACTCGCTTAACACTTCTCACTAGCCGCTCCCAGGCGCCACCGTGATGAGGGGCACTGGGCGGATTAAACTTCCACTTAATGCCTTTGTGGACGAAAACGGCCGGGGCGACTTTGTTCCAATTTTGGACACAGGATAGGAGCTCCTTTTGAGCACCAACAAAATTCGTGCCATTGTCAGAAAGAATGGTTTTGGGGGTACCTCGCCTTGCAATAAATCGCTCTACGCCCATGACGCAGGAACTAGTATCGAGAGATGAAACCAACTCGATGTGAACTGCTCGAGTCGTGAGGCAGGTAAATAGGAAACCCATCTCTTTTCGGTAATTCGGCGTATTGGCACTTGAAACGGGCCAAAGTAATCAACACCTGTGTTGAAGAAGGGAGGCTGCTTGTAACCCAGTCTTTCAATCGGTAGGTCAGACATAATGGGCACAACTGTTTTTGCTTTGCGCTTACGGCATGTTATGCAAGTATTTTCGATGTTCCCAAGTAACCAGCGCAACTTCAGAACAATGTATTTCAACTGAACTACAGCACGCATGTAATCCAACCCCTGATGTGCATGTTGAAAGTGCATATGCCTAATCCACATATGAGCAACTCGGTGTCGACCATCCAGTATTATTGGATGTTTGCTATCAAAGTCGGTATCAACAAGACGGCTGATACGTCCAGTTGAACGCAGGATGCCAGCTGGGCCGATGAACGGAGAATATTTAGCAATCCGACTTTTCTTTGTTATCAGTTTATCGGACTGAAGTATTTTCACTTCGGCAGGAAATGATTCGGACTGAGCGAGATAATTGAGCTTCTGCTCGGCAATATCTAACTCGGACGGGTCGGTTATTTCAAGCGTTTTTGTACGGAAGTGTTTATGCGATGGTAGCACACGAAGCATAAACGCTAAAACACGTTTGTACTTTACAATTGAGCTGAATTTATCCCAATTTTTAATCAGACGGATCGACGGCGCTTTCTCAGATGAAGCATCAACAACAAACGTAGATGCAGTCTCAAGGCATGTATCAATGTCACAGAGCGGGCCTTTTAATTGGATCTTTTTGATGACATCAGTGTTCGGCTTGAATGGCCAATCACATGTCCTCAATATACTAGGGCCTCTAACCCAGCTGCTATCCTTGAGGGCTTCCGAAGAAATCCCTCGTGTGCCGGTATCAGCTGGGTTATCACGACTGAGTACATGATTCCATTGATCAATGGTGGTGGACTCCAAAATTCCACCAGTGCGGTTTCCAACAAACACAGGAAGTTTGTTGCACGAGATAAGCCACTGGAGAACGGTGGTAGAATCAGTCCACATGAATACATTGCTTACTTTGAAAGTAAGCGCTTTCAAAATCTCTTCTTTGAGTCGAGTCGCAAGCAGAGCAGCCTGAAGCTCTAACTTGGGAATGGAGAGCATCTTCATAGGCGCTACACGGGCTTTCCCAAATACAAAAGCTAACTCGGTCTTTTGCGATTTAGCAAGTCGGGCTCGGAGAAACGATACGGCGCAAAAAACGTCCTGCGAACTATCACCGAACGTGTGAAGTTCACAGCGGTCGAACGGTTCGGTAAAGTAGCTACGAGGTATCGTCAGAGTACCTAATAGTGGAAGTCCTGAGTGCCAATCTAGAAATTATTGTTTAATTTCCTCTGGGAGATCATCATCCCACTTTTGACCACTGATTCTCCATATGTCTTTTAGTAAAAGGCGCGCTTTCACAGTATATGGAGCTACCAGTCCTATTGGATCAAAAACTGAGGAAACAAAACTCAACACGGTGCGTTGAGTAATTGCTTTATCTAGTGGTCGATCAACACCTCTACTTACTACTAGGGTATCTTTTACATGATCCCACCTGAGACCAAGAACATGCGACGATTGGTCTGGACTCTTACAAATATCCTTAACTGACGGGTTGGACTCACGGTTGTCCGGATTAAGAGCGGTTGTAACTTCGGGTACATTGCTAACAAACCTTGTCAGGTTAAACCCACCTAATTTGAGCATTGCGACTAAGTCTTTACTTAGGCTAAGAGCGTCAGCGGTTATTTTCGAACGAGTCAAGATAGTCGTCCATGTAAAACTTCTGGACAACGGCTGAAGCGGCTTCGGGGTATTCAGCTTGATTATCAGAAGCAGTTTTTTGTAGCGCGAAATTCGCACAAGTTGGCGAATCACGAGCGCCAAAAATATGACGGGTGTATTGGTGAACCACCACACTTGAAGTGGGGTCCTCCCGCCACAAAAAACGGAGAGACGGTTGATCTCGCGCAAGTACTCCAACTTGTAAGAACATACCTTCTATGTCCGCTGAGACGGCGTACTTGTGTTGACGGAACCTCAACAGTACAAAAACAAGATTTTGAAGGAGATCTGGGCCAACCAAGAGAGATCTATTTAAGGAAGTGCCATGAAATTTGGATGCTCCATTGAGCACACGGCGCACCTTGCCGGGTTTGTTCGGGTTCAAAACCGGATGGTGTGGAAGATACCACTCACGTTCGGCTCGTGAGCTGGGATCGTGCGGGTTGACGGTTATGACATATCCTTTATTTATATCTTCTCTGATTGTTTCGGTATACTTCTCGCGAAGTAACGGATCTTTATCTAATCTTTTCTCTAATGACTTTAATTGGGCTAATGAAGAATAATAATTGTTAGGCAAGCTAACATCATTATCACTCCACAGCATCGGTACAGTGTAACGCTCACCATCGTGAACGGTTTCAGTTTTTAGGATCGACAAAGCACGCTTGTCTGCGGCGGAACGGGCATCTACTTGCTTGAACGCACCATACGACTCTAACTCATACCAAGTTTTGATTTGGTCGGTCAGAGAAGTATCGTCCGTAACGCAGTTAAAGGAAGAAGAATTTAAGGACGAACGATCAGGAGACGGACCACTAATGACCCAACCTATCGGAAGTCGGACGGCGCACGGTGAGTCAAGTTCATCTCCGAAGACATGTTCGAGGGGTCTTATCGCATGATAGAAGTCCTGTCCTATAACTATCTCAATCTCTTTGTAATTATACGCAGTCGTCTTTAACGGGGCTAGTTGCGGGTATTTGACCTGCAATTCGGAAACGTTTATAACATCGGGTCATATATACATGTTGTGCTTAACGAAAGCGACAAACGAAAACGAAAATTCACTTTCATTGGGCTTTGCGGAAACTTTCAAGTGAACTCGTTGAGTTTTAGATACCTATGGTTTCCTTGTAAACAAGAAAAACAGAGCTTTTGTTCTGCTACATATTTAGCCCTTTGTGTTGCGTTTTTCTCTTTGAACACGGAACAGTTCCAGAGTGCATGCTGCCCTTTGCATAGCGAGCATGGAGGAAACCTTGTCTTTTCTCTACTTTTCTCATCCTTAGAAATTAGCGTAGTGTTACCTGCAAGCACTTTTGTAACTACTTTTTGTTTAACTGGTTCTTCAGACTTACCCTTAGAATTGATCGTTTTCAGCCTCTCATGACCCTCCGCTTTTTCTTTGAGCCATTCATTGAAATCTAGCAGAGTTGGTCTATGCCATTGGCGTCTTACGGTTTGCATCGACCATGCCTCCTTAAGGTTCGGGGGAAGCTTACTCACAGCCTGATTCAGTAAGTTAACACTTTTCAGGTCGTCGTTAAAAGACAGAGACTTGAATACGGCAACAATTCCAGAAATTGCAGAGGAAAATCCAATTACATTTTCCGAGTTATGCATTTTCAGCGGCGGAAAATTACTCAATTTATCTAGGTGAGCCCCTACTACAGCATGCGGCTGCCCGAATTTTCTTTGAAGAGTTGCTAATGCGGATTTTGCTTTACCCACTACGAGCGTTTTCAGATAGGTAAGCTTTTCATCGTCACTGAGTATGGCTGAATCGACCGTCGATGTGAATTGCCCAAACAACTCATGCCAATTAAGTGGGTTGCCATCGAACTGGGTCAGCTTCCACTCAGGGAGATGATCTTTTCGGCTGTGCATGAGTATATTAACCAACTCTCGTGTCGAAAGTGGACGCTCGGCGTCTGCACCAGGTGAATTAACGGGAGTTGGCTCTGTGTAATTCGAAGAGTTACCGTGACAATCAAGAACGAACGGTTGATTAGCATGTGAAAAGTTTTCAGGCTGCGCAAAGAACACAGTCCCTCCATTTGTATAAGGAACAAAATTATTCGTAGGAACAATCGGAGTTACTGCGGAAAAAACAGTTGTCGAAGGAACGTAGTGCTGTTGAGTTGACATTAAAGGGGTAGCAACAGCTGGTCTCCACAAATTACTATAAGGATTGTAGTGGTCACTTGAAAAGTTATAACTACTAACGGGAACACCCATATGTTGTTGTGATGGGGCTACAGGTGCTTGGTAGCCAGCTACTACTGATCCTGCAGTGTGATGACTTAAAGAAACATGATTAACTGCTGTTGATGCAGGAACAAACGGTGTTACACCAGAAGGAACTTCTGCAGATGATGGCGGAGCAAAATAGTTTTCAGAAGTTACCGGGACTACTGAACCTGTGTTTGGATTGCCTAGCACCGGATGAGTGGACAAAAAAGTTTGCTGAGGCAAATTATTAGAAACAGGTTGAATGACCTGCTGTAACCCTACTGGATTGTTAACGGAAACCTGCGATCGGACCAAATTCGACAAATTATGATGTTGTCCGTGAATGTGGTTACTGTAATACAATCCCGGATCACTAGAAGCTGCGTGGCCGTTATTCACGCCTGTAAAACTTGATGAGACCAAGTAATTTGTTGATGCAGGATAAGTTGCCTCAGGAGCTGTTGAACGAACGTGCTGCTCTTGATTGGGAACTACAACAGCATCAGGCTGATTGTGGTCGACAAATTCGACCCAGTGACGCGTACGATCCTTTTCGTCTATTGATAGTTGTGGAGAGATTCGAGTTAAACCACTTTCCTCAGCATTCTCACTGATTTCCGACAACTCATCTTCTAACTCAAGCCCTTTCAACTCAATTTCTGCCAGTTTTTTCCTGTGTTCTTCAGCCAATTCTTCCAACTCTAAACGGCTTTGTTGTTCTCTCAGTCTTAATGATACCTTTGCCTGCCTCTCAAGTTCCTTTTGTTGTTTCTTTAAAATCATTAAATCGCGCTTTTTCTCAGAAAGTGTTTTCGACGGAGCGGCGGTATAACTAGATTTCTGAGAGCCCGATTGCTGATGTCTGCTGCTTCGATGCGACAACTTAGAGCGGGTATCTGTTTTATGCGACCGGGGTTTTTCACTTTTTTCAGAATGATGAGAAACTTTTGAGCTGCTATCAGTTTTGTCCGGCTCTGTTACTGCCTCAAAACTTGTTTTATATGTAATAGCTTCCTGCAAAACTTTATCGTTGCTTTGAGGCAACTTATGAAGCCACATATCCTGTGCCGGTATCAATTCGTCGGGATTGGCACTTTTTGCAGCCATATCAATCAACTCAGTATATATCTCGACCGCTTGCTCTATATAGTTCCTACATTTTTCAATATAAGTATCAATTTTTGAGCAACGACTCTGACTCTCTATGTATTCTAAAATTATCTCGTGGCATTTATAAAGTTCGTTTTCGAGAGTGCTACGTTTCTCAAACAACTTCTTAATTTTCTTCTGAAACTTAACTTCCATGCTTAATAATTTCAGAAATAAACGACTCTCAGAACATACTGTATTTTCACTCAAGTAAATCCACAAACTTTTACCTGGCGTTAAAGTTAAAGCTTAAACTGGGCTTTGTGAAACAAGTCTCTTTCACGCGCTTTTGGGACGGTGCGGATAGTATACGGAGCGCGTGATCCAAGGAACTAGCTCCTAGAACGAATACCACACACTCAAGAGACCTATGCGACGGCTACGTTACGCTAAAGTACCAATGGGGTGGGGAAATTAAGTAGGTCGGTTGAACTCCAACAACGCACACGGAGTAAACCTGAGGATGAAAGAATTCAACTTAACTCACTTAATATCACCGTACCTGACCACTTAACATTAGTGTCGCGCAACGAAGTCAATAATCGGACGGGCTGAAACAGCTTAGAATTACTTGAAGCGTACTGGCTTTCAGTTTCACCAATGTGGGTGGGGGATCAGGCAAATTGGTTAAGTTCCAACAACACACGCGGAAAAAACCTGAGGATGAAAAAACTCAACTTAATTTGCCTGATATTTCGCTACCAGACCACTTACCATAAGGTTGGTGTCATGTTACAGCACAGTTTCGCAGAATTATGGGGACGTTCTGAGGAATTTTTGGCGATTTTTTACTTTTTTCCCAAAATTTTTCGGAAAACTTTGGTCAGCAGGTTCGAGTCGTAAACCAATCCAAAAAACTAGTCTAGTACCCCTTGTCTATGATCCAATTTTTTGGATTTTCAATCCGTTCACAATTACCCAAAAATTTGTGGTATCGGGAAAAAATTACCACTTGTAGCTTGCTTTGAGTTGGGATACACAATAGAACATCGTATGTAATTTTATCGCACAGAAAGATTTTGAAAAAAAACTAGAAGAGTCTTACAGTTTTTGACGATTTTGGAGATTTTCGGCACCGGAAGAAGTTTCTCTCAAGACTTTGGTCTGTCGCAGAGAAATTGTTCAGCAAGCACTACTTGCGAAGTTCAACTGAATCAAAGATTATATACAGTCGTTGCTCTGATGATAGTCCTCGCAGTGGAACTGATTGTTGTGCAAACAATACTTTTGGATGATGTCCATCCAAGATTAAAGAATTGTCCTGATATGGTAAAGCTTCTGTCAGCTGCACTCTGGAATTATTACTTGATCCAACTTTCCAGTCTACGTCCAGAAAAGATACATGTAATGCAAGGTCGGCTCTTCTCTCTTGTTTTCTGCCATCTGCACATTTCTTCAACAAAACGGGCTCTTTTCTTCTGCAACCCGGATCTTGTTGATATTTACCTCCTGCTATGAGGAATGCCACCACTATTAGGAAGTAATGCAGTTGCCGGTTATGTAACAGTCAGTTGGCAAAGCAGACAGATAAGTAGGCAGACAAAACAAAACCACCCGTTTTATTTCCCCGACAATTCTCAACAACTTTGATTTATGGAGTCGCAAATAATTGTGCAAAGGTTCCCTTGTCTTGAAAAGAAAGTAGTCGTTAAATTATTAAACAATCAAGGGCACTAACTGTCCCTTGTGGGGCGCCAAAATTTGCGCGTCAATCTCCAAGATTAAATAAAAAACGGTTTTTAAACAATTTAATTAATGAGTATTTTCTCGGCAAAATAACTCCGGAAATATAACGGAAATTTGAAAATATAACGATAATTTTAACAAACTTTATCATCGGTAACATCGGCCACAATAAACTGCATAACTCAAAGCAAGCTGCAAAAAATGGCCAGTATTTGTCCTTGAGACAAATTGCTCTTTTTAAAGGTCAGCCTTAACCAAGGCTGAACCAAATTAGAGCGAAAAGACGGTTAAAATGGGTTTTGGGGGGACCGAACCTGGTTACGGAGCATCCCATCAAGTTCGGTGCACATTCGAGTTCTAGAAAGGAAATGACCTAGGCGGGATTCGAACCGGCGCCGAAACCTCCGGGACGCACCATGTATACGCTCGGCTACTGTCCCTATATGCATTTATTTTTTGGTTCAGTTTTATGCATTTATACTCTCGCACATTTACATTTGCGCTGCAACAAAGGCGCATTGAAGCGCATATATTTGATTGAAGAGTAAGTTGTCGGACATTAATTTTTTGTTTTTTTGTTTTTGAAACCCGGATTTAACATTTAACTTAAGGTCAGGGCGGATTTAGGGGGAGGGAGGAGCGGACACCTTCCTTCCTTCAGGGATTCAACCTCCTCGCCAATCAAAGGGTCCCCCCTTTGGTATTAATTTATGACATCCATTTTACGTCGACCAACCCGAAACTTTTTTACAGCTCCTTTAGCGCCAATATATTTTAATTTTGTTGAGCGGAAGCGCGCACCGAAAGAACACAATTTTTTGGTCAAAATTTCCCAAAAAAAGCCCACTAACGGCTTTTGTGACCTGTTTTTTATTTTCAAAAGTTGACGTATTTATACTGTCCTGGGAGTGCTCGGACAATCAATTTGGTCGAACTACAGAAAAAAGTTCGGCGAACTTTTCGAAAAAAATTTTAAAATCCACCCCCCCCCCCACTCGAGAAAATCCTATATCCGCCCCTGCTTAAGGTACTCACTTCATTGACTGCGTTTTGGATCTGCTGCAAACTTTTTTCAGCTGTAAATCCAGGAATTGAGTCCAATTTATCCAGCGTGCCTCCAGTATGACCCAAACCCCTCCCAGAAATCATAGGCACTCTGGCTCCTGCCGCTGCCAGCATGGGTGCCAATGGAATGCTCACTTTGTCGCCGATGCCTCCGGTCGAGTGTTTGTCTACGACTGGAGGCGACGCGTCCCACTTGAGATCGTCGCCCGAAAGCAGCATGTACTCGGTCAGACACTTCGCTTCAACGAATTCGAGTCCTTTTAAGAATATCGCCATGAGCATTGCTCCGATCTGGGCGTCCTCCATTTTCTCAAAGCCCTCAGATCCAACCACAGACCGCACAAAGGTCTCGATGTCAGTTTCGTTCAATTTGTTACCATCTCGTTTCTTCTCGATCAATTGCACTGGAGTCAATCTCCTGACAGAAGGCATAGTTAGAGTAGTTTGTAATAAATCTGTTAAGTACAAAGTTACTACTAAGAACTAATCTAATGTGGCTAAACTTGGTATGTGGCCTGGAATTAAAGTTATCTTTTGTTAAATAATTATTAACAGGTGAATGTGATCAACTTAGTTTAATAACACTACTTATGATTCAATTATTGGTATCAGTCTCAACCGGCCACAAGATATTGAGATCCAGTTTATTGGATATACACGTCTAATAGAAGACCTTACCACAAACAACTAACCATTACAAGCGGTCATTTTTTATCATATAGCAAAGAATTGAGATTGATATGAGTATAATCATCTCTTTTTTTGGTTTCATTTTTTAGCAAAAAATTAGCAAATTGATTAGCAAAAATTAGTTAATTGAGAAAATTTTCAAGAAAAAGACTTATTAAACAAGTTTAGTGAATCAAACTGCGACAAAATTTCATCAGATTAACGGCCACTATGATTATTTATAACGACATTCGTTGATTCTGCTTTTTGAGACTCGAGCTAACGGCTACTTTCATGCATAGTTGATTGGTCGCGTCTGATGGCTTGCATCTACACTTCAGTTAAACACTGAAGTTTTCGTTATTTGTTTTGTTTGTAGAATGTATTTCTCAGAAAAAGCGCTGTCAAAAAAATAAAATCTTCATGATCATGAATAGGCAGGCGTGCAAAGGGTCGAGCCGTTTCATTTTTTTCATAACACAAGTGTGCAATCAAAAATTCAGCTGTAAAAAAATGGGTTGATTAAAAACTATACATATTTTACAAATCAGTGTTTTTGAAGTATTTTTAAAGAGAATTTGTGCAGTTGATAAAAAGTGTGACAGTCGGTTTTGGAAGCCGACTCGTTTCATGAGTTCATCACTGTCAATAAATTGGGTTTTATGGATGTTTGTAAAAAAAGCCAGCGAGGACAGCCGCTCTTCCACAAAGTTGATTTCTGTTAACATTGATCCCAAGATGCAAATGCGAGAAAAAACGCTAACAAATATATAATCATTCAGGATGTATTTCGCGAAAAACGCTGTCGAAAAAACATCATTCATGATGTATTTCTCAGAAAACGCAATGTTGAAAAAAAAACAATCTTTTATTATATATTATTCAAAAAACGCGCTGTCGAAAAAGTGAATTACTCATGATCTATTTCTCAGAAAACCAGCTGTCGAAAATCGAATTCGTCATGACGCTTTTCTCACAAACGCGCAGAAGAAAACTTAATGATTCATGATCTATTTCTTAAAAAACGCGCAGTCAAAAAAAGAATCTTGCATGAGGTGATTCTCAAAAACCGCGCTTTTAAAATAAGTATCAGGCTCTTTTTTTTTATTCCGCCTAAAAATTTCTTTCAATTGTTTTGAAATGAAACAAAACTGCTCGTATCAGGGCGAAGCCCTGAATGTTCCGACTGCCTTTTAAGGTATTATGGAGCAGTAATAACATTAAAAATTAAATGTATTAAAGTAAAATGAAAATTTTTTTTTTCTAAAATTTGAAATTTTTTATGAAAATCATCCCCGCGCACGCCATATAAAATAGAAAAAGATAGATTTCGCTCCTTGTAACAAATCAATTATGACAAATAAGCTTTTTCAACCAATTTGGAACGATTTCTGAGACGGATTAACTCTCCGCTTACGCGTTAATAGCGCGAAATATATCGCGCGTTAATTGTCCCAAATTGGTCAAAATGGCAATCTTTAAACCCCCATAACTTTACAAAAAATGATCACTGGTGAAATACCTTTTCAAATTTGAGCTCAGGGCAACAATATCTTTTGAATGATATAAAAAATGGCTAGTTAAATAGTCGAAATTTGTCTGAAGAAAAAAAACCCACCCCGAGCACAAATATTCCGTTACTTTCGTACCGAAATTCGGAACAATTATAGTGCTTGAACTTAAATGGCTCAAAACAGTCAATCAGATTTATGTGACAATTGGAAATATTCTGTTCACAGTTTTTAGCAGAAAAAATATCAGCCGAATTGGCCAAATATAATTTTTTTTGTCCAATGGTTAAATTGAACTCAATTCCCTTTTTGAGTCTGGTACGTGATAGACAAACAAGAATTAGTTCCAACAGCAACATTTTTTTGATCATATTCACTTTTGCTGAAATAGGCTCACATCACTGGTTCGGCCTTGTTGGCAATCGGCTAAACTAAAACTCACTGAATTAGTATTAAGTGCTGTTACTACTATTATTGTTCCGACTTTCGATACGAAAGTAACGGAATATTTGTGCTCGGGGTGGGTTTTTTTCTTCAGACAAATTTCGACTTTTTAACTAGCAATTTTTCACGAAAATTTTTTACATCATTCAAAAGCTATTGTTGTCCTGAGCTTAAATTTGAAAAGATATTTTACCTGTGATCATTTTTCGTAAAGTTATGAGGGTTTAAAGATTGCCATTTTGGCCATTTTGACCAATTTTGGACAATTAACGCGCGATATAATTTGCGCTATTAACGCGTAAGCGGAGATTTAATCCGTCTTATAAATCGTTCCAAATTGGTTGAACGAAGCTTATTTGCCATAATTGGTTTGTTACAAGGAACGAAATCTATCTTTTTGTACTTTATATGGCGTGTGGGGGGATGATTTTCAGAGAAAAATTTTCAAATTTTAGAGATAAAATTTTTCATTTTATTTTATTTCTTTTAATATTTTTTGTTTATGTTATTACTGCTCCATAAACGTTAAAAGGCAGTCGGAACTTTCAGGGCTTCGCCCTGATACGAGCAGTCTTGTTACGATTAGTTATACATCGATTTAACAATATAAAATGTTTGGGCGAAATAAAAACAAAGATTCAAATATCATTCATGATCAGGTGCGGATTTAGGGAGGGAGAGCGACACCCCTCTCAGGGATTCGACCCTATGTTATGCAGTGAAAGCTGGAAGCTGGCCTCTGTGTTATTCAGTGAAAGCTGGATAAGCTGGCCTCTGTGTTATTCAGTGAAAGCTGGCCTCTTCTGTGTTATGCAGTGAAAGTTGGTTCCTGTGTTATGCAGTGAGGGTCTCAAGCCCGTGTTAACAGTGAGAGTTGGGGTGTGCCGAGCCTTGTAAAATCAACTAGAAACCATCTTGAAAACTCGAAAAAAAACATTACTATAAAGCTGCGTGCCCAACGGCAACTACGACACCCGAAATGTTGCCGCATTGGGTGACCAAGCAAACTCGGCTACCTTCAATCCTTCCCAAAATCCCCTACTCCCAGCAAAAAACCTATCAATGTGGTCACCTGGAACGTCCGATTATTATAAAAGCAGAAATAAACAACACCACTTGCAGACAACGTCATCGACTTCAACGCAGACCTTGCGTGTATACAAAAAACAAGGTTGCAAGGTGACGGATCAGAGACGCTATACTCCTCAGATGGTAAACCCGCGTACAAGACGTTATACTCTGGACACACAGAAAACTGCGGGCTTCATGAATTTGCTGTCGTGATCAAAACAGTCTGACCGAACACGTCATGACCTGGAAGCCACTTGGACCTCGTTTATGCTAACTAAGAATCCACGCTAAGTCAATGCCCATTTCGTTCACCATGCTCCCACAGAGGAATCTACTTCTGATGACAAAGAGTCGTTCTATGCTTGTCTTCAGCGGTGCCTCAATCAATGCCCGCGAAAGGAAATCTCGATCATTCGCGGAGACTTCGTTGCAAGGATTGAAACCCCACGGGATTGCAAAGGAATGCATACTAGTCGCTTTAACATCGGCCCAAGAAATGACAACGGTGAACATCGTGCAAACTTCTCAGTTCAAGAACTAAAGAAACTGAGCAAACTTAGAGCAATCACTGAAAAAAGCATCAAACATGCGTGGGAACAACTGAAAAACAACTTACACTAAGCTGCTGAATCAAACATTGGTCTCTCTCTAAGAAAACCGAGTCCCTGGCTATCCGCAGAGACAAGGTAACTCATTAACTTTCCATCAACCGGTGTTGCAAAAATCAAGAAATCAACAGCTTGAAATGAAACTATTTAGATCTAACCTCATTGGCTAAAACTTCAAGTCGACTTCAAATAAGCCGAAAGGGCCAAAAAATATAGAATGTTTGATAAAAAATTCAATTTTATTTCAAATATGCTGAAAATGTTTTCCAAAAAGAATCACAGAAATAGCTCCAGAAATAAAGACCACATTCACAACTGCCCGAAACTCGGCTTTTGTTAGAAGTCGGCCAAATAAAACAGTGATCGGATTTGGGTTAATCAAACAAACCAGTGCTATCAGCGTTTGTTTCTCTGCATTTTAAAAACAGAAAATAACAAAATTAGGAAACTTGGGCGGAATAAGTAAAAAGGCTTGAAGAACGCAACATAATCTTATTGTGTCTGGGTGTTTCAAAGAAAAATAGTTTATGTAGTTATCATAAATTCAGTCGCATCAGAATATGTCCTGAAAATGTATCGACGAGAAAACATGAAGACAGAAAATTAGGATGACATGACTTTGAGGCAGCAGAAAAGCGTTTAAACACTCTATGCGAACAGTCCGAATTCGAGCACTTTATAATTTTCGAAACTTAAACAAGAACTTAAACAAGGTATCAGACGAACTCCAGGTATCTGCAAGTATGGTCAGTTAAAGAACTGCTACCTCATGGCGCCCCTAATTTTCAGCAGTGCCGGTCATGGTGATTTTGCAGTGTGCATTGCACAATTAATGATCATCAAACTTAATAATTGATTGAGTACGAATGATGTAAGTTTTATTCTTCCAGTATCCAAAAGAACTGCCAAGTGACGAAAAACGTCATGTTTCACCAGGAATTTTTTTGTGATTGCAAACTTCTCATCATGTTACTGCAACAACTCATCATGCAACAACTCTTTGCAACAACTCTTGTTTTTGATCACAATTTTGAAACAGCAACCCTAGTTTCGGAACCTCTATGACTTTTATGCAACAATTCGTCATCAAGGTTTTAATTCTCTTGCTCGTTTCTTACTCTGACAAAAATTCTAGAGCATTCCTTTCTCCTCCGACTGTTGAAGCGTTTTTGGACTTCCAAGGCTGAGTAGAGCAACTTGTTTTGCCAAATATTTTTTACCACTTTTGTTTCTA